TTCTAGAGACGGGGTCTCACTCTTGCTCAGGCTGGTCTCGAACCCCTGAGCTCAAGGGATCCTCCTGCCTCAGCCTCCCAGAGTGCTGGGATTACAGGCATGAGCCACCGCGCCCAACCAAGAAGAGCAAATTTTTAAAAGAAATCAAACTGTCAGTAATGTTTCTGTCATTTCCTTTCATCCGTTTATAGTCCCTCTGGTCTTTGTCCATGTCTCCATTTTATGTAGTTCTATGCATTTTTCATGATACCTTCAAATGTCATTTCATGATGCCTTTCAGATCCTCTAGGTAGAGTAAGTCCTGTATTTGGGTTCCTTTAGCATGCTTATGCTTGACTTTAAAAGTCAAGTGGTTATGTGTATAAGTTTAAGTGGTTATGGTTATGTGTATATATGTCTGTCACCCCTGCCAGACTTGGCATCTTAAATAAAAAGGATCTATTTTCTTCACTCTCACTTCTCCGGCAACTAGCACTTAGTAGGCATCAGTAAATATTTGTAGAATTAGACAATGAGTGGTCTTAACACGGCAACCCACTCCAGTCTTTACATGTAGCTGCCAGATTCATACTTGTGACTGTCCCTTGCTCAGAATCTTCAGTGGCTTCCTATCGCCTGCAACGTCTAAGCTCGTTATTTAACTATTTGGTGCACTCTACTGTCAGACATCAATCTTGCTTTCCAACTTTATTTCCTACTCCAGTTAGTCAAATTGATCTGTTCAGTATCCCCTAGGGGTCCCCATCCCTTTCCACATCCATGTCTTAATTCATACTATTTCTTATTCCTGAAAAGCACTACTCTCCTGTCCTAATTCATTTCCCTTCTCAGGACCCTCCTCAGATGCCACCTCTTTCACAAAGCCTTCTTGATCATTCCTGCTGGAAGTAATCTCTCCTAGCTTTGCACTCTCAGAACATGGTAACTGTGCTACTTGTCCCGTTTTCACTTTATGGAGGTAATTTATGGACATGTATTTTTTTCCAACTTAATATAGTTTCTTAAAACTTCTGAAATGATTCATCTTTGCATGCTGTACTCATAAGTAGCAGTAGGCAACTGATAATTTCTGGAATGGCCAAATAAATGAATTAATATGTGAATAAAGAGGCTTCCTGGACTAACACCCCTATCATTGGGCTGGTTTGGAGGGGAATAATAGGGAATTGGACATATGATATCTGGGCCATAGCAAAATACTGGGAAGGTGAGTATTCCCTGCCCCAACAGGGAATACTGTTGCATATTCCATTAGCGCAATTGTACCAAGTCCATTTGGGATGCAATAACTGGTGTGTTCCAGGCCTAATACTTGGTTTGGGGACTGTAAAACATACCGTGTACCCCCGCCTTAGACACCTTCCAGGTAGCAAGGTGTTCCAAGGCTCTGGCCCTTTGTATTGGGTATGTAGGTCCCAAGTTATACCCCCAAATGAGACATTGCTCACTGTGCTGAAATCTGTCCCAGACCTACCTTATTAGAGCCACCTTGGTTTTGTTTGGCTTGGCTAAGTTATGCACTGGTGGTTTGGGTATGTCCTTTCCCATAGTTCAGCTTACTGTTTAAACATTTTATTCTAGTTAACATTTTAAACTTTATGTATAATTTTTAATTTTGTTAAAGCCAGGTTTGCTGTGGAGCCCAGATGAATTGGCAGTAGAAGCTTTTACATTTTACTGTTTTTAGATTTATTTTGGTGGATCTTTTTAATCACCTATCCTATTCCTTTATTTTTCACTATTGGAAAACACCATGTCATTTTATCCAAGTCAGTCAATATTGACATTTGCTTAGGGAGGGAATAGAAAGATAAAATTACCAGTCAGATAGCACTATGGAACTGTACAGGGAAAACAAGTCTACTCCTTTTGAAATCTGATTCAGTGCCTCCAGAGCCGTCCTTCCTCACATTTGCCTTCTTTATTCTTTTTTTATTTTTTTTTTTATTTCAGCATATTATGGGGTACAGATGTTTAGGTTACGTGTGTTGCCCTT